ATGTCAGTTTAATAGCTATGTTTTCTTATTTCAGGAATGGAAAGCACAAGATAATTGTTCCAACTTCTGAGTTAAATATGAACACATGGTCAAACCTATACAGATCAGAACCTGTACATATGAAAATATGAACACATGGTCAAAACCTGTACATATGAGGATCCTTTTACTATGTAGCCTTTGTTCATGGTTATACCAAATACACCTAGAATTGCTTCCTCAATCACAAATCAGATAATATAACAACCTTCATTCAGTTTAAAAACCTTGTTGAGAGCCAGTAAGGCACAAATTAAGATAGTCTAAAATGATGGAGGGATAGAATTTAAGCCCTTAGGAAAGTTATTCACTGAAATTAAATCATCCTGGGGAATTTTTGCTCATATACACCACAACAAAAATGGACTTATTGTATAAAGGGAACATAGAGATATTATTGAAGTGCCTCTTAGTTGAATGTCTCAATAAGGGGTTCACAAAATATTTTGAAAAACTTTTAGCACAACCATTTATCACATAAACACAATCCCAAACAAGACAATAGGCTACAATTCACCCTTCCTCTATGGTTCTAAGCTAAGTTATGATAATCTAAAGATTTTTTTATATGCAAGTTTCACCCATATGAAGTCATATACAAAAGATAAACTTCATCTGAGGTATTAACAAGCCCACATTTTTGGGTTATAGTTCTCAGTTCAAGGGATACAAGATTCTCCTTCACAATGACAGAGTAATTATTTCTACAGATGTGGTCTTCAACGGAAAGTGTTTTCTATTAAAGTTATCTAAGCAAACTGAGCATAACTGTGTATATCCTTCTTTGCATGATTCTTTCTTTGATAATGTTGTTGAACTAGACACACCCAACAATTTTATTTACGAATATGAGTCCACCAATCCATACAAAATATCACAGAAACACACATATCTGCAGCACTTTACTCAGCATTAAGAAAATGTCTTACCTCATGAGATTTCTAACCCCAACAACATTTGTACTATGAAAGCAATTCAAAATCAGCATCTCCCTATGAAAAATTAGATTATATATGTCTGAGTGAAACTATTTATTAAAGGCAGACAATAGCATGCTCCAATTATTTCAATGCTAAAGCACTGGGAAAATCCAGATTCAAATACAAAACTTGTTGTAACATGTTTAACACTTTCATCACCCTATATCATCACCGAAAGAGATATACCAAAGTTCAATTTCAAACTCCCATTCAGCAACAATTTTCAGTGCACAAAAATATCAACACTGAAGGGTGAAGCAAGAATTCAGACAATCTCCTATGTAGCAACCAATTTATGAACAAAGAGGGATAATGTAGACTCAAATGTTCTCAATCTTAGTGCTGCACCTGCCAACAATAAGTCATGATATATTCACAGAGAATGGACTACTTTTTACCTGACCTAACAAACCATGGTAATGAAGAACCTCAAATTACATTAAAAAAAGGAAACTTGCTTCATCGTCTTCTTTCAAACTGACATGTTTTCATGTCAACTCACATCACAGGCAGAGGCCAATTTTTAAAGATCGAGACTCAAATTTGAATGTTTAACCTCTCAATTTGAATTCAATCATGCAGGTGTTAAATCTTAACCACATTCGCCATGCCTAGTCCAACATTCTCTGTACATACGAATGGATAAATCCAAGCACAACAGAGAGATAATACCTTACCACATTACCCATGCCTAGTCAAACATCGATCGAATCGAATAATACCCTACACAACTCAATGAAGCCTGAAAAACCCGAATCCGACAAAACCCGACTCTCATAAAATAGGGTTTATGAACAGAGCGTCGAAATCGAAGTGTTGTTTGCGTTATCCAAAACAAAGCAAAGTAAAAAGTGATATTGGAGCTTACCTTGCCGAAGGAATGGGGACGAGGTCGATGTTTTCCTCTGCAATGTGGTTTGCTAGGGATCGGGCAAAAATCAACACTGAATGGGAATGATGATGAGGTCGATGTTCGAGCTTAACTGAAATTGGAATGACGATGAGGTTTGGACGTTTCTCCTCTGCAATGTCGTCTGCTAGGTTAACTTTGATTCAAAAGGGATTAAACATGGTAGGTTATTGTAATTAATTAGGCTGTAAGGGGCAATTTTGTCACTTTGGCTATAGTTTTGAGGACAAAAAAGTAATGAACAGTAGAGGATACAATTATCACCTCGTCTGGGCGTGACAGAAATAATCGGGCAACTCAGCATTTCAGTGTGGGGCCCACCGACACATGGATTCCACATCTGAATTTTCTGTCCAAATCCATCAATGTAAACAGAGGATATTGAGGGATAATTTACCGTATCAATCTTATCCCTCAAAGTAAACAAGCCTTCAGAGTCTTCCGTGTTTTTTATTCCATAAGAACTACTATTTGACTTTCATTTTAAAATATGATTGATTAATTAATTTATTGAATAAAAAGAACAATTGAGGCTTTATTGGGGCTAATATATATTATTGCTTCTAAATATCACGCTTCTCAAAACAAAAATGTTCATTTCTTTTTTACCAATATCATCAAACCCTAAATTTTTAAAACGTTAATCTAAAATAGCAAATTTCTTCCGCCAAGGTTCACGTAGATGGCAAAAAACAAGCATCAACCCTATGCTTCTGATACTTCGTCCGAATGGAGAGGAAATTTGAAGCAGAATTGAAGGAAAAAAATATAGTCACAATGTTGAATTTCACGAGAGTCAAAGACTTGTGCAGAAGAAAATCCAGTTCGGTAAAAATTCAAGGTTAGTAGAACGAAGAATCCATAGACCGAAGGCATTCTTATAAGAGAATGAAAGTCAATAAATTTTGTGGAACAACACTCGGCGGTCAAACGGCCGATAACTCGGGTTAGTGCTCTAAAGGAACGATATTCTCCTTCCCCGATGATCTGTTGTTAAACCGGGATGAATATTATACGAAATGGGTTGATAGAGATTGCAAGAGTAAATATTCGCCCGTGAAAACTTTCGCTTTTTTGTCAATGGCAATGGTAAAGGCAAGAGTAAGATTCTGTATTGCAGCCACAGGCCAAAAGAGATCAATTTTTATTTCAAAACCAAACACTATATTTCGTTGGTCGAAAAAGAAATTGAGGGTGTTTTTGTACTTATATTTTTGTTATTATTGGGGTGAGTAAAGTTGATTTGGGCTCATTTATGTGTTCATCTGGTCTATTTTCGTCCGTTTCTTGTATGTATCGTCTTTCTTTTGTGTTTTTTGTATTTGTTGTATTCTTGCATTTTTGTTATATTTCAGGTCCATTTAATCGTAATCTATGAAGATGAATCGAGCTCAAGTTCCAAGCACACTATTATAGCCAAGCACTTACCATGACCGTTCATTTTTGAGTATTTCGTCACAGTTTCCTGTTTGGTGTCCGCTACCAGGAGATTTTCCCAAGAAAGTTCTATTGTTTTCCGAGAAGATCCAAAAAGTTTCCAAGTAGCTTTACCGTCGAGCCACAGAGGACCAGCTCCAAGCCCATGGGCGCATCACTTGAGCACTGTCGAGCACGCCTGTAGCGCCTCATTTGTTTTAGACGAGTTAGTGTATTTTAGGTTTTCCGCCTCTTAGGTGTTTTGCTCGGCAAATCTTCGTTTGAGCTCCTGACGATTAATTGGAAATAATCGTATTGTTAATTTCTTTTAAGTCGAATAATTTTGTAGGCGTGATCGTCTGCTTAAGTCTTTTCCAATTCTTTAACCTTCGTTTAAGCTTATTATGATTAATTGGATAGCTTCGCCTAATTAATCTAATAAGTCGACTAATCTATTATTCTCGTCAATCGTAAACCATTCGCCGTCGTTGTTCGATTTATATTCGCTTGTCGAATCATTCGGAAATTCGTCGTTCAATCGCGTAGAATTATTTTTGACCTGTTTCGACCCATTTTTGGTGCATTATATCCGGACCTTAGAGGTTTATTTCTCGGCCCTAAAATGTCCAAGTTTCAGGCCTTTCTTGTTGATTATATTCCAATTTTTCGGCCATTGTCTTTGGATTTTGGCACCTCTTTGGCATTTCAAATTTCAAATTCGTGGCTTATGTTTGGTAAGGAATTTTCAGCCATTATTCTTTCCTTTTGACCAACCATAATTCTCCATTTAAGTGCCTTGATGTGTTTCAACTTTCAATTATGGTATTGATTTTTGATCAAATGGTAACCCCTTATTTGAAGAAAAATCAATGACTTTCCCTCATTCATTCCTTCCTTCTCAACCCACATTTTTAGCAGCAATGAAGACAAAAACCCTCCCCACAAACACCAAAAGATCTCCACTTAAAGCCTCAGTTATTCCCTTCGGCATTCCAGCCGCCGGCACACTCCCACGAGACCACCGCACGCCCAAGCCGATCGCCTCGCCCAGCAGCGATCTCCATGCCAGGCCACGATCGACGAACCTCTTCCCACGTACACGGACAGCAGCCTTCAATCACGCATGTCCCCGAGCAGGCCGCCGATCCACGCGACCCATCCACGCCATCGCCTGAGGCCGCCTTTCTTCCGATCCGTCTCCTTTTCACTTGTAGATTCTCGAAGGATGGTATTGATCCGATCCCCTCATACATTATTTGATTCTTTGTGTTTTCTTATAGATCCATAAGGTTGGAGTTGGATCTAATTCTCAAAAATTAAGATCTAGTTATATTTCTGAAGAAAATGTTTGGATCATAAAGTTTTGAGTCCCCTTGTGATTATTGTGGATTTGGAACTCTCTAAGTGTCTTTATTGTCGTGAAAACCAAGCCTCGTTTTGTTGAAAACGAGCCTCGTTTAATCTGTGAACCATCATCGTGTTGCTGTTCAATCTTGTGTTGTTTGAGCCTTGAAAACCCTATATGAGACCCTTGTAATGCTTGCAGTTTAGTCGCTGTTTTTACCCTATAAAACGCAGTTGAATGGTTTTGAACTCTTCATGTGATTTGAAGATCAGTCTCTTTTGTTTCCTCTGGAACAAGAATCAGGTGTTTATCATTCTTTAGCCGGCGCACTCCCGCGAGACCATCGCACGCCCCAGCCGCTCGCCTCGCCCAACTGCGTCCTCCATGCCAGGCCACGATCAACGAACTTCCTCGCACGTCCACGAACAACGATCCTCCAATCACGCACGTCCCCGAGCATGCCGCCAATCCACGCGAGCCGTCCACGCCATTGCCCGAGGCCGCTTTTCTTCCGATCCGGTCTCCTTTTCACTTGTAGATTCCCGAAGGCTGGTATTGATCCAATCCGCTCGTATATTATTTGATTCTTTGTGCTTTCTTATAGATCCATAAGGTTGGAGTTGGATCAAACTTTCAAATATTAAGATCTAGTGATATTTTTGAAGAAAATGTTTAGATCTTAAAGTTTTTAGTCCCCTTGTGATTGTCGTGGATTTGGAACTCTCTAAGTGCCTTTACTGTCGTGAAAACTGAGCCTTGTTTTGTTGAAAACAAGCCTCGGTTTAATCACCAAACCATCGTCGTGTTGCCGTTCAATCTTGCGTTTTTTGAAACTTGAAAACCCTATATGAGATCATTGTAATGCTTGTTGTTTCATCACTGTTTTTACCCTCTAAAACCCAGTCGAATGATTTTGAACTCTTAATGTGATTTGAAGTTCAGTCTCTTTTGTTTTCTCTGAAACAAGAATCAGGTGTTTATCATTTTTAAAATGAAAGTTATGGCCCATGTTGATAATTGCGCGTTCAGTTTTTCTAATCATTCGATGTTACTTGCAGTCTGTGTTACATGGCTGTTTTGAACCTCTTTTTGTGACCGGACATTATTGTCTTCAAATGAATTGTAGTTTTGCATCTTTTGTTTTTAAGGGCACAAAAATCATTCAAAAATTAGTTTTGTATAAAAAGATACGTTCGAAATACGATCACTACGGCAACAGTTTTCCTTGAGAGTTGGCCAGCTTGTAGCTTCAGTTTGTCCAGTTTTCATCCCCTTAACCTGCTCGTTTGCATTCAAGGCCCTCATGAGATATGTAGTCCTGTTTCTTGTCTTTCTGTATCTTCAAGAATTAGTTCAAAAGTTTTTCTACATAAAAAATTGTGTTCGTTATACGGGGACTGCGCATATAATAACTATCCGATTTTCATTAACTTTGTTTTTGTGTTTCACTCGTCCGTTTTCGAGTTGTTCAACCCTTTTTCAAGTTGTTGACCTATTTTTCGTGCCGAACCCAAATTTGGGCCATTTTAAATATTTTCCAAGTTTTTTCTCAAATCCGAGAGTTTCAAATTCCACAAAATTTCGCAAACTCCTTCATCAATAATTTTGATTAAGTGAGAATTGTCGTAAATTTCCGAGTTATAAAGATAATTTTTTTATGAAAATTATCTTGATTAAATATAGGTTCTTGAGAAGTCGAGTCCTCAAACCTACCGAGCCATTGTAGCATCTTTTCTGTCTTATCCGAACAGGTGGGTGTTCATAAACCTTACCATGTATGTTATTCTTTATAATTGCTTGGCTTGATAATCAATGTATGTGTATGAACCATTAGTCTGTGAGAGTGTTCTCCCGTTGATGGAGTTCGGACAGTTTTCCTATTTGTGCCTATTGAGAGGTTTCTCCAGTTGATGGAGTTCCGACGGTTTAGCTCCCGTGAATGGGCTTGTCCCGACGGTTAGAGGTGTACACACGAGCGTATGGCGGTATAGAAGGTAGACTAGATGATTTGTGTTCATGCCGTGATTATGATTTTAAGTCATTATATTGAATAGACTGCATGGTATTCCCACGGTGAGCTAGTTGGTTGCTCACCCCCATTATTTCTCCCTTTTCAGGTTGAGCTGGCGATAGCGGAGAAAGACGAGCGAGTGGGGTCATACTTTCTTGTTATTTATGAATTATTATTGCTTCCGCTATTTGTTATCTTTTCAGACTTATAAGCATGTTGGATTATGAAACCGAATTGAGATGTTGTTTGGAATTCTGAATTTGGAATCGATGATATTGATGTCATTTTGAAATTATTATGAGTATGCTATACTTGTATGGTTGATTATGATGTTAAGTGCTATTTTGAGATGGTTTATTCCCAGTGATTTGTGATGACAATTAAGTTATAAATTGAGTTTGAAATGAGTAATGCCCGTTAAACAATTTTAAAATGATTCACGAAAATTTAACTCTGATTTTGATAAAATATGGATTTTTTATTTTTAAAAAAAAATAACAGGGCATTACAACGCCTAAGTCATTGCCTAGTCTATCATCGAGCGACCCCGAGCAATCACCTGAACGACATCGCTGCATCGCCCGCACACGCCTGCTGTCTGTTTCCCGCAGGCATCGCCCGCACACGCTTGCTTCCCGTCGCCCACAGGTGTCTCCCACACACGCTTGTTGCTCGTTGCTCGCAAGCATCGCCTACACACGCTCTTAGCTCTCTCCTGTAGCTCTTGCCCGCATACGCGTGACTCGCTGATAAATATGTGCCACTCAGGACATTCTCTTTTTGTCCGTCAGTAGCGGGCGTTTAGCTACTCGGCGATTGCCAGTTTTTAAAGCTATGTATGCTTAGTGTGTGTGGCACTATGAAACTGTAAAAAGACTTGTCCTTTATATTTATAGGATGATTCCTCATTTAGAATTTTTTTTTTTTTCTAGTTTTTATCCAGCTATTTTGTAATTCCACTTTTGGGAGCTCCAAGTCTCAATTTTTAATGTTTTCTTTTCCATCAAGATGTTGACTTTCCGACTTTCTACAAATTATGGATACTACTAGAGACTTAGGGACCTAGTTTAGGACCAAGATCCCTTAAGTTTTTCTCGGCTTACTTGATTTTTTGTGAATTTTTCTTGAGTAAAATTGGGATCTTTCGTAATTAAAGTAGTTGGATAAGTTAAAGTCTTGATCATTTTTTGCTTATATTGTTTGTCTAAGGTACTTTAGGAGTTGATTACGTGTTCATTAAGTAGTAAAGCTTAAGACTTTGTTAAAAACGTGATCATTTAAGTTTGAAGGTTCGTTATTAATATCCTAGGATCTTAGTACTTGCACGGTTGTTTTTATTATTTTTGTTTAGTTGAATTTGGGGACTCCGTCGTAGTTAAGAATTGAACCTTTAGTTAATTACTTTTTAATTCTCTTCATTCATTTATATTAAACTAGTCTTAAAAAAACTAAACCAAATTTGAATAGAATGTTTAGGACTTGTTTTATTTTCTTTTTATGTGTTGAAGTTTGAATAATGCGACTAGCTCCGAAGAGCCTTCCTTTGAGAAAGATCCGAGGTTCCAAATTGTTAGGTTAAAAATCAATTTCGACAAAATGGCAAACTTATCTTTTTTGAGGATTCATGTGTAAAAGTTCACGTTTGTTGTTTATTCTTGTGATTTATAGGTCGAACTTTTTTTATTGGATTTTGTATGGTTGGCATTCATGATGTTATGATGATTTATTTGCTTCAGTAAGCCCGCCCGTTGGCGGGCACTTTCAGCATACTCACGCTCGCTAGGCGGGCGAGCTTCCACTCCCGAGACTATGAGACTCGCTCATTGGCGGGCACTTTCAGCATACCAATGTCCTCTAGGATGCCAAACCACCACTCGCAGGGCTGCGGGTCTCGCCCATTGGTGGTTGGGCGCTATATATACAACAACCCCCAAACCCTAGCCTCTTCAACCCGCCACCATCTCCCACACTCTTGCGCCTCCGTCCGACTCCCGACTGTGACATAAACATCTAGTCACCAACATGCACGACTATCGACAACGAGCACTGCTAGGCGACAGACCTTCCCTAGCGACTGATAACAATCTGAATCTGTCTGCAACCTTGTCCTATTGGGGTTCTATACAGCACGTCAAATTAATGCAAGTCACAAATCTAGTCTACAAAAATAAGCCTAAAGCGCAGCGAACTAAAGTTGAGTTTGAACACTCAAAGATTAAAATTTTGCAGAATCTGGGACGTTTCTGATTTCCATTGATGGATATCATCTGAACCTCACAGTTCGTGAACATCTTGAACAATCTTCGGGGATCGCTCATCACCAGGTCGCACAGTCGTTATGTGTTGGTCGCGTGGGGCTGCTCGCATGCGGCATGAGTGTCGCTTGGGGCTGCTTGCTTGTGGTTTTCAGGTCGCGCGGTCTGCTCGCGTATGGGGTCGCTTGATTGCTTGCAGCTTGGAGCTGTGTGCCTCGTGCGTCGCGGTGCTTGACTGCGAGCGGCTGAGCGCGGGTGTGCGTCGTGCGTTGTCGTGGTCGACTTGTATCCAATAGAAAATATAATATATCTGTGTTAATCTAAAAGTAATGCATTGCCTATGATGTCTTGTGCTAATCTTTTGCTTTCTTGGTAGGCCTAAGTCAAAGCATAAATGAGTGCCAAAAAATACCATGACAAGATTTTCAGGTTCATTGCATATGTAGTCTTCCAACCACTGAATTCCTAGCAGAAGACAGCCGTCAAACCTTAGAACAAAGGAAGAGAAAATCGCAGTGTGCTATCATACAATTATATAAACAAAACAATAGGTAATTAGTTAAAGTACTAACAAATTAGGAAAGAATACAAATTTATTTAAAGGGGATTACAACATACTGAAACAAAAGAACAAGTATAACAAGTCTCATGTAAATGAGCTTAGGATTAAGCTTCGACAACTATAACACTATTTCGTAAGATATTCAAATTTTACTGATACTTTCAAAATACATCTAATGACAACATAACACCAGAAAAAGCAAATCCACGTACTTGTATAACAATTTCGAATAGCATGACAGTTACGCCTAAAATTAGGGCACAATTTCACCAAAATACTTTCGACACTACAGTGTTGAGGTTCAGGAGAAACGCAAAACACGTATACTTCTGGCCTCAAAGACATTTAAATTTTCAAGTAGTAGCTCTCAGTTTTGTCAATTGCATTCGCTGTCCTCCGCTTCCCATCCGACAACGACAAGAATTTATTTTTCTCGCTATAGGGGCTTTGTTTTAAGGGCAAAAAAAGGGGAAAATCAAATTCGTAGCTCTCATTTTTTCTATTGCGTTCATCGTCCTCCAGTCATCTTCCGACCTCGACGCAATTTGATTGTGCTCACAAAGGGGTCGGATTTTAGGGCAGAAATGGGGAACATCATATGGTGTAATAGAACAAATGGAGAGGGTAATTGAAGGCTAAATTTGTCATAGTGGAACATATCATACATTTTAATCCCACCTAGGAAATGCTTGACAATTTTTCATAAAACCGCATCATATTTTTTAAACATTTGATACCAATCAAAGTTGAACAATTAAATGGAATACATTATTCAGTCCCGTATGAAATGGCATAATGTAAACATCATGTTTCTTTTTTCGACACTGTAACTATAATAAAAACTAGAAAGCGCAAAAGAGTCAGGGATATCAACTGACATCAAAAGAATCAGAAAATCTAAACATACCCTCTTGAAACAACACAGGTGTCCAAGGGGTATAACCTCCAAGAAGATCACCACTAACGCCAAAGCATAAATCCATAAAGGAGACACAACAAACACATTTTGATGGTTGATTAAAATATCTCTGCACTAATGTGGCAAAATTTCTTGTAAGAAGTATTTTTTACTTCATTTTGGCACTGGTCTTGGCGGGCCCTTCAATTTTAAGAGTTGAAATTTTATTTAAAGCACCAAATATTATTATTTTTTTTATTTAAATACTTAAAACTGAAACAAATGCAAACTAGGAATGCATCAATTTTACCCATGGCTAAAACTATTGAGCACATACGGAGATTTCAAATACTTTAACAGGATTAAGGAAATATATGTTAATAAAGGGTCGGGCATAAAAGGGAAAAGAAAAAAGCAAAATAAAATGAAACTATTCAGATTGTGAAATGTATTTTCAACTGGACCATTAGCTTCAGATCCCATTTCTTCTATTTCAATCCACGCCTCTTTCCATTTATGCAAAAACCTAAAAGATGGAAAGAGAATGAGAAAAGACCAAAGCCAACGAGGTTATATTCGTACACTAAGCAGATCAATTTCGTATATCAGCCATGAATTTGGTGGAACATCTTCTCCCAGTGCGCTATCTCCAAAACTGATACCACAAGCAAAAAAATGGAATATACACGGAAACTGCAGATCGAAAAAAAAAAAAAAGAACTTTTTCTGGACAAAATTAGACACAAATAGAAGTTTATGTCTTTAGAAAATTCAAAACATACCCAATTGAAGGTGGGACGATAAGCCTCCTCTTTCTACCAATACGCATACCTGAGTGATATCATGTTCAAATATTACAAATTAAACCTGAAAAAAATAAATAAATAAATTAATACAGAAAATGTAGTAAGCAGACTTCACAAGTAGTTACCATCTATGCCAACATTCCAGCCATCAATGAATTCTTTATCGCCCAACCGAAAATACAGAGCATCTTTACCAACATTTGATTCAAAAACAGACCCAATGTCCTTCGCCATGGCCATGTAATAAATTTTGACCTGATCGGAGATCAAATTCAATCATAGCAGTAACTGACATCATAATAAAATCAACCAAGAACAACATAACCCTACTAATTTTGTACATGTATAATGACTAGACAACAATAATATACTTTTTTACCAGGTGCAGCTACTTTAGCATCAGGTGGTCCACTGTCTAATTCCTCAATGATTAGCCNCCCCCCCCCCCCTTTGATTTGGTCTGTTTTAGACTTGGCATTGTATCTGCACTCTGGTTGTCAGTTTCCATGAGCGTCATATTCTGTATTATTATGTTCCACATTAGGTGTGTCCATGTTAAATTTCCCATTGGATGGTATTTTCTTCTTCCTTTTCTTAACCCTTTTGTCAGGCTGACCACAACTAGCTAGTGTATCCTTACTGACGGTACTGATGATGCTGCAAGAAGAATTTTCTGTTACTAAAATGAACAATATAAAGTGGAAATACTTGATGACGCTGGTGGAGATCAAAACATTATCTTCTTATACTGCTTTTCAAGTTCCAACATAAACTCTTCGTTGATTTCATTTTTAACTGTAAAAAATCTAATATTTCCACTTAAGTATAAAAGTTCCAAACCTCAGGCCTTTAGGGTTCGTGGCATATTCAGCACCCGCTTATGCGCATCAGATCCATACTTCAGTCGATCCGCTACCGGATATCGCACATCTTCCGTGAGGGGAACCGACCCACTGACTTCCTCGCTTGCATCGGTGCCTCCACTCCCCAGAGGCACATCTTTCAGCCAGACGACACTCCTCTCCGCCTCCGTACTCTTGTGCGGATGGGTCACATTGGTTACCCATCGTTCAGATTTGGGTAATCGTATTGGTTTTTATGTTTTAGCCCACTTGTAGAACTATTCTCCTGGACACCAGTCAGCCCAGTTTCAGATCTTTCGCTTTAGCTTTAGTTGTTGTTTTCTCTTCTTTTTCCTTCTCTATTGTTTCTGGTTTTGGTTGTTTTGTTTGTTGTATGAACATGTAAATTTGTGGTTTTCCAAGCCATTTGGGCCTGATTATATTCAGGTTGGAGATCCAGTCTTAACCCCCTACCCTTTCGGAGTATTTTTTTTTTTAAAAAAAAAGAGTTAAAAAGTTCCAAGCCTAACTGTAATCATTATAATCATAGCTTACCAGTTGTTAGATTCAACCTAAATAATATTTCAGTGTATGGAGAGAATGACCAAATTTCTACCTAGTGATCTTGTCTTATTATATATTCAAGTGAAATGAAACAAGAGAAGAAAAACTAGATCAAAGAAAAAACAGATGAGTACTGACTTATCAATTTGTAGGTCTTGATTTTTCCTCTTTCTTTTTGAAGATCATCCCTAGAGTTGTCACCATATGGCAATACTTGCACTGAGTTACCCTTTTTTGTTATCTCCTGATATTCTTCACCAATTTCTTCTATACGAATTTCTTCTAACCCTTGTTGTTCTTGAGTTTGGTTTTCAGCATGCTGTAAACTGCATTGATTGTCAGGTCCTTTTACACTTATTCCTTCCAGTTGCAGTTCACTCTTTCTCTTCTTTGTTAGACCATAATTGGAAGTTCCACTGAAATTTGAGAGTGTACTTAATAGTAGAAGAAAACTCAGCACGATAAAGATGTAACATTAGGAAAGGCCATTATCAACAGATCAAACTCACAAGATTCTTACATATTAGTGAAGGGCTCAACCTTGTGCACATTATCTTCTACCAAAACAGTGTTATCCTTTTGTGCTTGAATGGTGTGGGTTTTCTCATCCTTTTCTGAGCGCATTTTTTTCCTTGACTTTTCATTGACCTAACACCCCTAACAAAGAAGTAAACTAAATAAATGGCAAGTCAGATAATGTAAAAAAACTGAAAAAATGTAGACAGACAACCCATCATTGGAATCTCCACTGATATCCCTAATTGAGAGTGTATTTAATATTAGAATGAAACTCAACATGATAAAGATGCCACATTACTGAAGGCCATTATCAATAAATCAATCACACAAGGTTCTTTCATATTAGTGGAGGTCTCAACCTTGTGCACATTATCCTATGCTAGAACAATGTTATTCTTGTCTGCTTGAATGGTGTGAGCTTTCTCCTCCTTTTTTGAGTGCTTTTTTTCTTTTCCTTTCTGACTTTTCACTGACCTCACACCCCCAACAAAGGAGTAAACTAAATAAGTGGCAAGTCAGATAATGTAAAAAAGCTAAAAAAACTGTAGACAGACAACATATTGTTAGATGATGCTCAAAGTTTATATGGAATGGCGTTTCATCCTTCCTTATGCTCGTGGAAAGACTGGCTGTTGGCTGCGTCTTTTGCATTACTTTCATGAATTGAATTTCTAGCTAAGACCTTTTTGATGGAAACATTAGTTTTTTCAAGAGTCACCTCTTCCATGGCATTATTATTTGCATGTAGGACAGTACTATCAGAATTCAAGGAAAATAAACCTTGATTAAAACCAAAATCAAAACATTGCCACAGCCCCCCAGAAACCATATATCCACTTCACGAAAGAGGACATTTCAAAGTGCTAAGATGTAAATGGTAGGAGGACAATTACATGAAGAAAGTGCATTAATAGCCTGGAATAGTAAATCAATTTATTACCCATCCAGTTTGTCAGCACCACACACACCATCGTCTTTTGCCTAGTCCCCCATTTCCACTATTACACAAGGTATCATTTGTCTAGCATTACAAGCAATTGTCTCCATGGCACTTTTACTCATTAATGCAGATAAAGTGTGGGAAACCTTATCTACACCTTTATGCTGATCAGCATCATGAAGAGTTTTGTTTCCTATCTCAGAAAAGGTACATCCTTGATATCCTTAAGACAGCAGGAATGGAGAAGTCTAATCTCTGAGCACACTCATGATTACTCCACCGATATCAAAGTTTGAAGGACAACCTATTGAAAATGGTTATCTCTTTAGAATATGGATAGGAGCATTCCAATATGTAAGCATCAAAAGACCAGACATTGCATTCAACATCAACAAGTTGAGTCAATTCATGCAAAGCCCCATGAACAATCACATGAAGACCCTCAAGAGAGTTCTTAAATACTTAGAAAGGACTCTAGATCATGGCTTAAGATTTGACAAGAACTTCTCTTTCAAAATTTCAGCATTTGCAGATGCTAATTGAGCCTCAGACATATATGATAGAAAATCAAAATCTGGTATTTGTGTATTCTCAGGGAAGAATCTAGTTTCATGGATCTCTAAGAAGAAACATTTGGTCTCAAGGTCAAGCACTGAATCAAAATTAAGGAGCCTTGCATCAGCTACTTGTGAAATAATCTGGCTTCAGTCCTTATTAAGAGAGTTGCGCATTTCTCCTCAGAATCCATCGGTTATTTGGGTTGATAATTTTGGTGCTATATCCTTAGCCTCAAATCATATTCATCATTCTCCGTCTAAACATGTTGAAATTGATATGCACTTTATCAAGGAGCAGGTGGATCACAAAATCATTTTTGTTCGACATGTTCCTTACTTATTTCAAGTGGCTAACATTCTAACAAAACCACTGAGTGGTCAATTCTTCAACCGGTTGCATCATTCACTTAGTTTTCATTCTCATGCGGTCTTCGAATCGATGGGACATAAATGAAGATCACATAACCTGCAGTCATGTCATCCACCTCAGTTCACCTTACCACCTCGCTCACCTCAGGTCCAAGCGATTGCACCCCTGGCCCACGTGATAGCTCGACATGAATGACCACATGCAAGATGCATCAAGCCAAAACCGAGCTAACAACCTCTGCACATGTAGAAAAGCTCCTCTTAATGTACTATTACCTATTAAGTTTTTGAATTTCAAATTATTCACCCCAAGAAGGACATGTGCCTATCTCATTTGGAAAGATAAATTAAGAAGAACGTACATGCATTTGCTACCAATTCCTTTTTCTTAGAATATTGAATCCAAGAACATGAAGTTACCAAAGTTCTTTCCCATGGCAAAAGTCAAGTGAAATCCCACTATTAAAAAAAACAGCGAGGCCAAATAGAATCAGTGTGATCTCGACGGTGAGGAAGTAAGATAAGTTCATTTTTTTATATTATGTAGTTCAACTCGTATACTCATGTTCGCTTTTTTAACATTATGAAATTCAGCTCCTATATATACTTTGATGAGTTTTGCTGACTCCTTATGGCTCGTTGCAACTAGAATAAGTTTGGTATGAGAGAGTGGAGGGGGCATCTAATTAGGAATCCTACCTGGGTAAGATGAAGTGAATTGACTCGACCTAAAAGATACCCCGAAAAGCAAAGACAAGGACCAATATATAGGGTAAGCGCGAACCCAACTAAGAAGGATAAAGGGCCCAAAACCTGTGATAGAATAAATTGTTCATGGTTACTTGAGGTACAAGTGACGAAGTGTCATACATGAGGTATAAAAATGCAGTTACATATGTAGTACACACATTTCACACCATGTCATCATACACAACATTTACAATTTCTCTCCCCACTCTAAATATTCTATCTACCTCTCCTTCTTATTCTAACTTTGTAATCAGAACGCATTCTTATTATTTGAAGGGAGAGAGTAGATAAAGGTAGGAAATCAGATCATTGGGTTCAACATGCCAAGATTTCTGGTCGAACCCAAGTTTGTTAGCATCCCTCCTTTATGTAAATGTAATTAATTATATTTAAAAAAATAAATATAAAATTTTAATTAACGCACATATTGTAATATTAGTGAAATATTTGAAGTGCAAACTGATCAATTTTGAGATAAGTTAGTTTTTGTTCAATGAATCAAATCGTCTCACGCAAAATATGTCGTCAAGCGAGAAAAAATAGTTTTCTTCCAATTTAATTTTAGGATTTCAATTTATTGAGTTATTTTTGTACTTTTATAAGTTCTGTTTGTTTTGAGGAATTTTATTTTTTATTTTTAATATTTTTTTAGTTTTGTTAGTCTTTTATGGTCCACATATGTTTCGAATATTGCTATAGTGCTATACAATATAATTTGAAAGAAAAATATAATATAAATTTCAAAGAAAGCAATACACTATAACTTACAAAGCTAAATATATCCAATGCAACCTCGGCCATAACTTCATAAAGTGTGGAAAAAAGTGGTTGAAACATTCTTGTGGGCCAAATCCTTTAGACCCATTCCATGTGTCAAATGATGCACATATATAGGCATAATATTTTATATTTGGAATTATGCTTGTCTTATATATATATATATATATATATATATATTCAAACATAGGAACAATAGTATTCAATAGTTCATTAGTGTACGTATTTTCAATTTTGTTTGATTCTTCAAAGAAACTGCTGAAATAAAAAAAATGGAAAACCAAGATTCATATAGTTCTGGAAATGTTTCGGGTCAAGCGCAGGTAATGTTTCACTAGTAATTTCACAGCGTGCAAGAATTCTCATGTTTTATATATTTTTTTTTAATTAAGATGCAAATCATACTAAGTAACTAAATTTTGAAAATGACTTTGTCATTCCATTGCAAAAGTATGCATATTTTAACTTATATATTTCAAAGTATCATATTAATACGACTAAAAAAAATTAAAAACGGATGGACGGTAACATTTATGTTATGATAATGTTAGAATATTTTCATAAAAATGTTGAAATATCTGTAAGAAACTGTAATTGTAGATGAGGAGAGAATGGAATGACATGCAAACCCCAGCATCAAGCATCCACAGCCAAGGCCAGGCAGCCAACTTCCTCGAAGAGGTATTTATATGTACATAATCCATTATTTATTTTATTTATGGCTTAATTGTATTTTTACTCCTGTTGATTTAACGTCATAGTAATTTTTATCCCAATATTCTAACATATCTTCTTTTGATCCTATAATTTAATATTTTTCTGCAATTTCAGTCCTTCGAGGACTGAAATTGCAACAATTTGCAAATTTATAGATTTTTTTTATTAGCAATTTATGTCCTAAAATTTAAAATTTTATTGCAAAATATTAAATCACAACACCAAAATGCTAAAAGCTGGAACATTGGGACTAAAATTGCTATGAAACTAAACCAACATGACTAAAAATATATTTTTGCCTTTTATTATTTATTCATTGCGATTTTCTTTTATTTCGAACACATGCCTTAACCTTAATTACAACATTTATTTTTTCATGGGAAACCCAAAGCATTTCATCCAAAACACATTATTATAAGCTTTATTTATTTATGGGTAAAAAAGACTGGGAGCCAGGTGAAGAACATGGCTTATGGGGCGGCTGAAGTTGGGAAGGGAGCAGCACAAGGGGCCATCAACCTCGCGCGTGGAGCAGCAGACGCTGTGAAGAATAGCATAGGCATCAATAACAATAACAATGACGTCACGATCCCCACAACTATTCCACGTGGCGGCGCCACTACCATCAACGCCAACTCTAACACTGCTACAATCCCAAATCTTATGGATAGCAATAACATTGATTTGGAGGGATTGTCTTATCCAACCAACACTATGTCCGATCCCAATTGCCACCGCAATCAGTCGCACTAATTACACTCCCAAAAATCGTTACAATAACATTTGAAATTATTTTTATTTAATAATGATTATCTCAATCATTCTTCTTAATTGGGATATTATATTTGTTTTTTTTTTTTCTCGTTGGTTCTTGGAAGCCGTTCCGAGTGGTTCACCACCCTCATTTTGTAACCATTTGCATTATGTATGTCTTTTACAAATAATGTTTTAGAATTTCATTGTTTGAAATATCGATATGACATGTTATGTTATAAGTCCAAGGTTTTGAAAGCCGAACCAGTCATCGAATCGATGAAGTTATCAGTTCAATGGTTCACTGGTCGGACCAGTGGTCGAACCAGTTTAATTAACATTTAATTTTTTATTTATTTTATATGTATAATATATAATTGTATATATTTTTTTAATTGATTTTATAGTGTATAGTTCAATAATAGATGCAATCAACAATGTTGAATAATGTTGATAATTTATTTTATTTTATTTATTTATATTTTAATCTATATTTAAGATACAAAATAGCGAGTATATTTTAGTTTTAATTTTTAAATGAGAATTTAAAAAAAATCATTAATAAAATAGAAAATATATTATTTTTTTTGTCATTGTAGGGTTTTTGATTTTGAACAATTTTGGACGTCAAACGATTCTAGGCCCAAGTCCAAACTCAAAAACAAAGAAAAATAAATTTATAGACCCAAGTCCTAACTAAAAAACAAAGAAAAGAGAAACGCATGGTAAGCTATTAGATATCCCACATTGAAAAAAATAAGGAACAACAGAATGTTATTTAAATGATAACTTTTGCCTCCATGGTCACAACCTTACCAAGTCAACCGCTGGGCCGCCCAAATCAGTCTGATTTTTTGGTTCAACCGGTTCATGGCCGATTTTTGGGCCTTAGCGGTTCCAGTGCTCAAACCGGACTATTGAGCTGGCCGGTTCCCGGTTGAATTGGTCGAACCGACTGTTCCGGTCTGGTTTTCAGAACCATGTATAAGTCCCTTCAAATTGTGATTTTGGAATCCCATGAATAACAAACGCATTTTTGAATCCCATGAATAACAAACGAGAAAATGCTTAACGATAGATTTTTAAACAACTCCATAACAATCTATGATAATAGAAAAGGTACACCGTTTTGGGCCCTAGCGGTTTCAGAGTTCAAACCGGACTGTTGAGCTGGCCGATTCTCGGTTGAACCGGTCGAACCGACCGGTCCGTTCTGGTTTTCAGAACCATGTATAAGTCCCTTCAAATTGTCATTTTGGAATCTCATGAATAATAAACGAGAAAATGCTTAACGATAGATTTTTAAACAACTCCATATCAATCTATGATAATAGAAAAGGTACACAACATAAGTTGTTCGCTAATACCATGCTAAATCATAAATCGTCCACACTAAAGGCAAAATTGCAAGTCTCAGTTAGCTACTACGTTTTTTTATATTTTTAGCAAGAAACAATTGCAATTTTAATCTATTATTATAGGTCATTTTTCATTTTCGTCCAGTAATTTAGTAGGATTCAAAATTAGTTCAAAATTTTTTTAAATTTGAGTCAATTTAATCCTATATCGACCTCGATCGCCGAAATCCGATCAGAAATTGTTGAACTGGAATAATTGATTGTCAGCTCATCTGACGTGGACAATTTCCCAACCAAGTTAGTGAGGTGGTCACTTTTTTTTGTGCCATGTAGTAATTTTGGCATTTTAAATTAATCAAAATAGAGGGGAAAAAAGGAAGAAAAAAATTATCAAGGAAGAAGAAATTTTAAGCACTTCAAATTCAGATAAAAACAAGAGCATATTCTTCAGATTCGTATAAGACCGGGGAAAACAAAAAAATTACAAGCTTTCCAAGCAATAA